GGTTACATTGGGATACTTGTACACATACAATATTTCTTTAATATACTGAAAAATTCTGGACACTTGATACCATTATTCTATAATGAACTTTTTTGTGTAGAGTATATTATGTGATTAATCATTGATAAAGTAGAAATTATTGACAAAAATAAAGATATTTTATTTACTATAATAGATAATAACATCATCCATATGAAGCATGACATCCCTTGAATGCACGATTAATCATAATTAGGTTTTTGTAGAAATATCTATTCTACCCCTCCTAATAACAAAAAATGTTTTTGATTGAAACTTTTTTTACTATCAAACAAGGGGAATAAATACCTAAAAATATTAAGTACATTAAAAAATACTCCATATGTATGAAAGACCTAACTTAACCCAAAAATAAATTTTAAAAACTAAAAATGATTATTTTTGAAAAACAATTTGACCGTTATGTTTTATATTTTTCGGAGGGACCAGCATTTATGAACCTCTAGTTTATCAACCTAATATGGTTGAAAGCCCCTCTCTCTCCCACCCATATCAAAATATAACATTATATTGCTGCACTACGCGTGGATCTAGGGCTGGATTAAGGTGGGGCCAGCCCAGGCCCAAGCCGACCTAAAACCATGCACGCCGGGCCTGAAAAATTTACGAGGCCCAAGCTGGCCCTGCCCTAAGAAAAATTGCCCAAAATTATATGGACGGTCAGGATTCAATGAAACATCTTACCATATGGGTAAATCGGATCGTCCTTTGGCACCTAACTACCAACTAATCGTGCCCATGCACCCAACACCTGGTAATGATGGATAATAGTAACATCATCGCAATTGACCTTGTTTAAATGAATTACAAAAACGAGAACTAAAACACTTTGGATTGGGACAGCTTTCTATGTGAAGTTACCTACATACATAGTAAATGTGACCCTTCAGTAATTAGATATGGCTGAGAGGACTTAAACCACAATGTCACAAGCTAGCTCCTAACCATCATATCTTGATGTGACGGTTTATAGTTTTTTTTTTTTATTATTATTCTATAAATAATTTTAAAACAAAATTTGAAACATATATAGATCTGACAGGGGCACACAAGATAAAAATAACAATAAAATATTATTGATGATGAAAAAATATTAAAATATCCCTGAAAATTACAAAGGAATTTTGGTTATTTATTTTTATATAAAATATGAATCACTTTAATTTTATGATGGGATGTCCAAAATTTCATCTAAAAACATTTTATAGAAAATATGAAAAAAAAAAAACCGTGTTTGACATGATATTGTGGTATGAACAATCCTAACATTTTGACTCAAATCGAACGGCTAAGAAGTAAGGTTACACTGTTGAGGTCAAGTCCAAACATTTCCCCTTAATATTTGCACCGATATTGGCCAACAACTTTATAGTGGCATAATTCTAGAAGTTCCCATGTGGAAAATGTAGTCCTTGTGACAGGGGAGGTTGCATAATCCTTCACTTGGGCGAATACCAAAAAAGGAAAAAGCTAATACAAGGGTGATGCCCTAAATAATTAAATTAAGGTGCGCCTCAAAAATTCACCGGATGTTATTTCGATGCCTTGAAAATATTCAAATAAATCATCTTAACTTAAATGCCTATGGACATGAGAAAAAATGGATTTCAAGTCTTAAAAATAGTGCATCTTGTAATGTATTTTTCGGATTGTTGATTTTCAAAAGTTTCAAGTATTCATAGATTTACCCGATTTATATTATTTTTTAACCTTTAAATTTCATAATTAGAGATGTTTATTTTTAGGCCATAACAAAGATTTTCAATATAGAAACAACATCTTTCAATATTATTTGAAGGTGTACCTTAGTTTAATTGTTTAAGACATCAGCCTTATATTAACCACACCCATATTAAAAAGAAAAAGTTTATATAAGTTTGAGGCTCTAAACTATCAAATTAAGGAACACCTCAAAAATTTCACTAGAAGAGATTGTTTTGATGCCCAAATATCTTCAAATTGATCATCTTAACTTTAAGATGCATGGACAGGAGAAAAAAATGGATTTCAAGTTTTCATAATAGTGCACCTTGTAATGTATTATTGGAGCGTCAATTTTCAAGACTTTCAAATCTCTATAGATCTGCTCAATTTACACTATTTTGTAAGCTCCAAATTTTATAATTAGTAATGAAAATAAATTTTAAGCCTATTATAGAGATTTTCAATTTTGAGACTACATTTTTGACACTATTTACAGGTGTGCTTTACTTTGATTGTTTAGAGCATCGGCTTTATATAAATCGCACTAATACTAAAAACATTGAAAACTCAAAGTAAGGCATTAATCTAATGTACTAATCCGGATCAGCAATGGAAAATTCTTCATGGACAAAATAATAAAATATTAAAAAATGAATAAATTTTTTAAAAATAAATTAATTGGGAATCACCTATGTTCTGACCAATTGTCGATTCTACTGATATAATCATTCAGGTCTCGGATAGAACCAAGTGATTCTTGATGAGTACAACTAATAATTCTCAGTTCGGTAAAACAACCACGTTACCCTCATATTATGTTTGCTTCAGATCATTGATTCCAATTTATATTCCAATTCAATCATCGATTGCCTGTAATGCAGTATAACACCACAATTTGGACGGTTTGAGGATAGGATTTTCAGACGGGTCGCAAGCTATATACAATGAAAAAAAAAAACTAAAAAAACCAAAAAGAAGGAATGAAAACCGGTACATGATTGGTATACTTGTACAAATGGCATTTTTTAATGATTGGTATACTCGAACAAATGGCATTTTTTAAAAATAAATAGAAAGTTTACACCAGTTATTCAAAAATAGAAAGTTTACACCAGTTATTCAAAAGTCGGCGAATGATTCAAAAATAGAAAGTTTACACCAGTAATTAGAAAGTTTACACCAGTAATTCAAAAGGCGACGAGTCGAACCGAACTCGTCCGATTCGACTCGAGAACCGGCAAATCCGATCAGATTCAAGTGAAATACCGAAAATTGTCCGCGGTTCTAGAGAAGTGATGTCATGAATCGAAGAATTTCATGCCGTAAATCGCCATGTGATGTCATGATTCAATAGGCATTTTTATAAATTTTAAAAAGTATATATACCTTAAAGTCCGCACACCTCGTCACAAGACTCTCCTCACTTCGCACGCGTTATCCTCGTTAACTACAAATAGATATTTATTCACTACAACTTCCTTCTACCTCTTCGGTGTGGTAAAATGTGAAGGTATTAATTTAAAACATTAATATATTATATATTTTGTTTGAGCTTTTAATATTACTAAATAGCATATGGTTTACTGGTTATAATTTTCTTTCTGCATGTGGAGAACAAGAGTTTTCTTTTATTAACTATTTTTCTTGTCAATTTTATTTTTTTGAGGTCAAATTTTTTTCTTATAAAAAAAATGAAAGGTTCTTTTTATCAATTTCGCTTTTTGTC